CAAGAGTTATCTTCGGCGTAAATGCGTCCCCGTTCCTCCTCCAAGCCACCATCAGGCATCACCTGAAGCTCTACGAACAGTCCGACCCCGAGCTGGTGACAATGCTGAAGCGAGACATATACTGTGATGACCTCATCACTAGTGTCGACACGGAAGAGGAGGCGGAGGAGGTCAAAGCTCGGACACAGTATATCTTCCTTGATGCAGGGATGGTCATGACAAAGTGGGACAGGAGTGCCTCGGGTGAAACGACTGAAAGGAATCTCGGTGATTGTGGGGAAACTGACCGGAAGGTACTAGGGGTGACCTGGCAGCCTGCTTCAGACGTTCTGGAGATGTGCACACGCACACTGGCAGAGTATGCTGCGGCGTTGCCGGAGACCAAGCGGACCATCCTGAAGATCGCCGCTGCGTTCTATGACCCGCTTGGCCTGATGGCGGCTTTTTCTGTCAGAGTCAAGATGCTCCTGAGGGCCCTGTGGAGACAAGGTCTGGACTGGGACGAACCAATCACGTCAGAGTCACGATTCCAATGGAGAAAGTGGCTTGCAGAGCTAACGCAGTTCGAAGCCTTCAGGGTTCCACGCTTCTACGGGCGACATGACGAAGTCTTCCAGTTACATGTCTTCTGTGATGCCAGTAAAGACGCTCTCGCCGCAGTAGTGTACATTCGCAGCAGTACTGATGCACCCGTCCAGGAAACGGCATTGGTCATCTGCAAAACACGACTCGCGCCGTCACAAGGCCTTTCAATTCCCAGACTCGAACTTACTGCGGCGCTCATCGGAGCGCGTCTCCTGACCTTCGTGAAGAAGCACCTGCCAATCGCGCCGTCAGCAGAGTTCCTCTGGACGGACTCATCAGTCACCTTGCACTGGATCCGAAGTAATGCACTGAGGTGGGGAACGTACGTTCGGAACAGAGTCCACGAAATCCAAGCACTGACCTCACCTGACGCCTGGAGGCATTGCCCAGGGGTGGACAATCCCGCAGACCTGCCATCTCGAGGAGCATCATCGTCAGCACTGGCAAATGACCTGTGGACACGTGGCCCCGTGTGGCTACGCATGCCTCACGCACAGTGGCCGGCACGGTATGAAGATGAGGAGGTACCAGCTGACTGCACGGTGGAGCAAGAGAAACAAGAAGTGAGCGTCAACGCGTGCTCCACCGCGGAAGATGTCGCTGGAATCGGTCAGCTGGTGCCACTGGAGAACTACAGCTCCCTGAAACGTCTGCATCGCGTCACCGCCTGGGTCATTCGCTGGACGAAGAAGGCACGGCGAGAAGAAGACACAGCGGGAGAACTCACCCAGGAGGAGATCCGGAGAGCTGGCGACCTATGGGTTGCACAAGCTCAGACCGACGCATTTAAAGATGAGAAAGCAAGGCTTCAGAGCGGACAAGATGTTCCCGGGACTTCAGATGTCTTCCATCTGAATCCGCATCTAAACAACGGATTCCTGAGAGTGACCGGCCGTCTCCAAGAATCAGAACTGACTGCACAAGAAAAGTACCCGCTGATACTGCCCAGCAAACACCGCTACACCAAGCTGGTCATTCTAGACCTGCATGAGAATCTCTGTCATGCAGGGATACAGCAGACAATGTTCGCTCTCCGATCCCGGTTCTGGGTACCCCGGAGTCGCCAGACAGTGCGCCAGACCATACATGACTGTGCAAGATGTAGGGTGTTTCGCCTGAAGCCACTGTCACAGGAGAGGGCGCCGCTTCCCAAGGAGAGGGTATGCGGTGGCGCACCCTTCTCGCGCATCGGTGTCGACCTGGGTGGACCCCTGTACTTCAAAGATGGCGAGAAATCTGAACCGGTGAAGGCCTACTTCGTCCTCTTCACCTGCACTGCCGTCCGCGCCGTCCACCTGGAGCTTGTGGAAACGCTTTCGACAGAAGACTTCCTGGCGGCCTTCGAGCGGTTCGTGGCTCGTCGTGGAAAACCCACAGTAGTTTTCAGCGACAACGCCACAAACTTTCAAGGAGCCGCATCCCGCTTGACCCATCTAGGCGTGACCTGGAAGTTTAACGTGCCAAGAGCCCCCTGGTGGGGAGGATTTTTTGAACGAATGGTGCGGACAACAAAAGACGCTCTGAGAAAGACATTGTACAAGAGCCTGATGACGTTCTCCGAGCTGCAAACAGTGTTATGTCGCATTGAGAGTGTCATAAATGCGAGACCACTTTCACCGCTCACTGAGGACATCAACGACGTACGAACTCTTTCGCCTGAAGACTTCCTGCGAGATACGTCACATGAGTCTGCGGAGCGTGCCGCCACGGACCACCCGGAGACGGATGGCGAACCTGGGCGCTCTCTGGGAGCAAGATGGAGGTACCGACGGCAGGTCCTTCAGCACCTATGGCAAAGGTGGGCACGAGAGTACGTGAGGGAGCTGAGAGTACCGCGCCGTGAGCCAAATGATCAGCCCAAGGTGGGGGACATGGTCTTGATCGGCGATAACACGAAGACATCACCAGCACTCTGGCAGATGGGCAAAATCACCCAGCTGCACCAGGGACGGGACGGTTTGACCCGGTCTGCGACAGTGCGAACAGCTGGTGGTGAGCTCGCGCGGCCAGTCCAGAGACTATACCCCCTGGAAGCAACCTGACTTCCAGTGTCACAGAGACCGGAACAACAGAAGCGCGTGCTGGCGCACTTTCGCGGGGGGAGGATGTTGTGAAATGCGGAGCTCCCTCGCATCATCCTCACGCGACCAATACCGATGTTTTGATGGTTAACTGGGGTGTCGAAATACAGGACAGTTGGACCCCAGAACTCAAGTGTTTTATCACAATTAGATTAGATTAGATTTATGAATTGATTCTGATTATGGCTGTTAGACGTTAGATACTATGGACGGTAGATTAGAAAAAGACTTCGATTTATAAACGTTTGAATCCAATCACAACAGGCCCTTTCCGGCCTCTAACGGCTCCACACCAGTGTTTATGAGCGCCACACAGCGGCTCCACACCAGTGTTTATGAGCGCCACACAGCGGCGCCTTTGAGGGTCATACTAGTGACTCTTAGGGCCCTATATCGGTGGCTCTGGGGGCCCCACACCGGCGCCTCTGTGGGCCACCACACCTGTGCATCTCAAGGCTCTATATGTACATCTAAAGGACCCACACCGACACCTCTGAGGGCCCCACACCAGTATCTCGGTGCTCTGAAGGCCCCACACCGGTGACTCTGAGGACTCACCGGCTCCTGAGGAGAGCACCATGTTGATGTCTAACGGCTCCACAAGGCCACTGAAGGCACAACACAAACTCTCACTGGGCTCTAATGCCCATGTACCGGCCTCTGAGGGATTTAAGCCAGCGCATTCGTTGCTCCACACCAGCAATTGTAAGGGCTTCACACTGAAGTATCTGAGGGTTCCACACCGGTGTCTCTAAGGGCCACATTCCGGCATCTCTGAGGGCCCCATACCGGCGTCTCCGAGGGTCCACATTTGGCGGGCACCCATCAGCGACTGAAGGTCCCACACTGTCGACTCCGAGAGTCCCATCTGCGTCTGGGAGCACCATGCCGTCTCTAAGAACCACAGCGGCTCCTCCGTACGAAAGATGGGCGTCTGCATGCCAAAGGAGAGCGGTTCTGAGACAGTAGGGCACCTACGTGCAATAGAGGGGCGCCTATGAAGCCCATAGGGGTGCCTCAATGCGAAAGAGGGGCGCCTCTGAGGCCTACATATATGGGCGTCCACATGCAATAGAGGTCTGCAAATTGCAATTGATCAATGCCATGGGGGTGCATTCATAAGAAACAGGGGCGCCGGCATGGCAAAGAGAGGCGCCTTCAAGTGTCCATAAAAGAGAGACGCCTATGATAAGCGCACATTGTACAGGGTGACACAAAAAAGCTGTCATCACCAAAATTCGAATAACTTCGGAAGTTTTATTCAGATCATCACCAAACTTCGGCCACTTTAGGTCACACCTATGTAGCAGACATCCACAAGTTTCAAGTCTTCACTACGAATACTTTTAGTACAGTGTGTGTTTTACGGACGCTCCACAATGTGCTCCAGGTGAGCGCCCCGGCGCTGCAGGGCGTAGGCACACCTGCATCCGGCGGGCAAAGTTGCCGATAACCCGATAAGAATAACGTTTCAGGGTTTAGCACACCCCTGAGCACTGTCTCCAGAGGCCATTGCACTCTGTAAAGTGCACAGCCATCGAGTTATCGACAACTTTGCCCGCCGGATGCAAGTGTGCCTACGCCCTGCAGCGCCGTGGCGCTCACCTGGAGCACATTGTGGAGCGTCAGTAAAACACACACTGTACTAAAAGTATTCGTAGTGAAGACTTGAAACTTGGTGGATGTATGCTACATAGGTGTGATCTTAAGTGGCCGAAGTTTGGTGATGATCTGAATAAGACTTCCGAGGTTATTCGAAATTTGGTGATGACCGTTTTTTTTTTGTGTCACCCTGTATGCGACAACGGGGCGACTGTGGGACATATAGGGATGTCTCTGATGACTATAGGCACATAGGGCGCTTATATGCCAAAGAGGGCGCCTATGAAGCTAATGGGGGCACCTGGGAAACGAGGAAGACATTTGTGTAAGGGTTTTCAAGGGTCATGCGCCGTTTGCGGCAAATAGATTCTAAAAAAAAAATCGGAGGGGGAAGAAGTTTTAAAAATGGTGCGGACTTTCCGCACTGTTCGCTTTAGCGGTTACGCCCCTGGGTACATCTGCCTGATCTCAGAAGCTAGATTTGGAGGTCATACTTGAAAGCAGCCAGCAGGATGAGGCAAAAGTGGAGGCCCCTGAAAATAGGAGGCCCCCTGGAAAAGGAGGCCCCTTGACAGGGTGGCCCACCCACTTTTCATGACGTTCCTACGCCCGTGCTCACCGCCCACAGTTCAATAAAGTTAATAAAGTTAATAAATAAAGCGAAGTTCAATACAATGTTAAAAGCAACTTCTCATCTAGTTACTGTGATTATGATTACCAAACTGCACTTACCTGGCCTCCTTTCAAAGCTGACTATCTTTCGCCTAGGTGACGAACCTGAAAGGGGGGCCAAGTCACCGTGAACAAATTATGCAATGACAAATGCAGAGAAAGGCGAATACCGTTTGCCATACAGAGATGGGGCATACCTACTCATGATACCTCATCCTACTAAGTATGTACTACATAAATATAATACTTAATACTAAATGCCTAAATGCCTACTAAATAGGGGAGACCTGGGAGGTATGCGCCGGTTTAGTGAATAGGCAATTTTCTTCCAGTGGGCAGTGGCTAGACCTGGTTTTTTCACAGTTCACTCTGTGTACGTGAAATTGATTTTTGATTGTAAAGTGTGCCTCATTAGGCATCTGGGATCAACTATTTTGTCTGGAGATAACTTTAAATAAATCATGCGCTTTTTCGATCAATCAAAATACACCGGGAGGCATGGGCCATGGCCCGGGAGGTGTGGGCCGGTGTCATGTTTCATATTCTTTTCTCGACATTAAGAACAATACTCGTAGCTGGGCTCTACCTTGAGCTCTCTTAGAGCCCATGTACTGCATAGGCGACCAGCAGGTTACCCCGTAGAGGTCACTTGGGCACATATGTATTTCAGTAGTGGCGGAACACCTTCAATTAAGGGGGGAGGCACTGCCGACTTTTGGTCCCATTCTTTCCATGCAACGCCCATAGGGCTAATGTTAAAATGCCAAAATCAAAGGGGGCACGGTGCCGCGGTGCCCTCCCCGTTCCGCCACCTATGATGTAAATATTTTGGTAAACTCTAGTCTCTAATCATGCTCCATGAAATAAGACAAATAATATTTTTATGTTTGAATGCAATTTGTACTTAAATTTTCGACCTTGTGCGACAAAAATAAAACTTATTGAAGAGGTCATTCAATGAAAGCATCATTTCATTGATTTAGAATCATTGGGGGTGGGTGGCCCGAACCTCCCGGTTAGGATGCCAGAATGCGCGTAACATCTTAACTCATAATCTTGCAAGAAAACTTCAAATTGTCTATCCAGTCTTACTTTGCATGTTTTAAACTTTATGGTAGCGATGGGCTGACATAATAAAACGAGCCTGGTTCAAATTTATCACGAATATTCCGTATGTAGGTACCGTATTTTACTCGAAGAGGGCAAAACGCGTTATCACTGCTCATTGTTAAAGAAGACTGAGGAAGATTTTGGAAATCACGTGGGTTGTATAACGGAATGGCTGCTACTAGTTTACGCGGTCAAATGTGTAAAAATACGCAACACTTCTTCAAAACTGCGATGGCCCATACCTCCCGGGGGCCCTATACCTCCCGGGTCTCCCCTATGTAGAAAACCAATATGTAGGTCCGGCGAGGGTTAAAGCCACTTCTCACCTAGCTTCTGTGATTGTACTGCACTTACCTGGCCTCCTTTCAAAGCCGACCATCTTTCGCCTAGGTGAAGAACCTGAAAGGGGGGCCAAGTCACCGTGAACAAATGATGCAATGACAAATGCAGGGAAGGGCGAATACCGTTTGTCATACAGTGAGATGGGGCATACTCATGATGCGTGTTACCAGACGCATGATAAGCTAATCAATGAATTAAAACTCCTGTGATGTCACTGATGTGAACATAATGACTAATTAAAAGATATGTCAGTTGCACACTTGTATTCGCTAAAGCAAATGAGCCATGCTGGCTTATGACAACGCTCTACACGTTCTATTTTGCATAGAGCTTGTCTGACATGTTAATAAATATTTCTTTTTTTTAGAAATCGGTACACACACAGGACTCACTTACCTGGCCTCTTTTCAAAAGTAACCACCTTCTGCCTTGGTCCTGAGTCTGTTTTTTTTTTTTAAATTTAGTCCGAATGGCTGAATGGGAGGATTTGAGGAATCAGAGCCCGCACTAAGCATAGCCTGTTGGGCTGACCCTGACCCCACCACCCGATCGTGCAATTCCAGTTGTATGGCAGAATTTTGTCCGAACGTTTAACGTGCCCTCACGACTGGACACGGTCCCCTCCGCTCACTCACGTTACCCATGGCTTCTGTGCGGCCCCTGCCACAGACACGCACGCCATTACACGTAGGAGCTAAATGTGGCCGCCCGCACCGGGGCTTGAACCGGGCTCTCACTTCCCCCTAAGCGTCGAATTCCGGCGCTTTTATCCACTCGGCCACGGAGAGGACAGAAATGGGCATTGAATCAGTCACTATCATCTTTTATGTAAAGTGAAGATTAGATGTTCATGTCACAACATTAGATTATTGACGGTAGTTTTAGGCGGCCGGTAAGCGAAGCCAAAGTGAAACCAATGAAGGAAACATGTCGTATTCGTCAGAATGTTATGCAACAGTTGTGGCTTTGGTCGTTTAGAATATTAGTTGCACAGGGTGCAGGATTAATGTTGGCTAAGAAGGTAAAATACCTATCATTGTGGAAATATATCTACCTAATTCAAATCATAAATGCCGTAAATTGCACAAATAAGGGTACCTATGCAATATGCATCTACTTATACAGTGTACTTTTAATTACTTTTTTTTAATTACTTTTAATTACTTTTAATTACTTAAGTAGTAGTACTTGTATGGTGTACTTTTATCGGTAGAGCTGAGGGGTAGAACGCCATCAGAATAAAACACGTAAGTACTTATCAGCGCTTTAACAATTTATATCCCACCTTGTTTTCTTCGTACAGTGGTGGTCTTGGTCGGAGTCGTAGCGCCTGGAATGGAATATATGGCAACGGCGGCATGAGTGAAATTTGTATTTCTCATAAGAAGATATTTCTGAAGTTTTCGTCCGACGTTTGATTGTTTATCAGCATCAAGGGATGAAATACCTAGCAGACTGAAAAATGAAACTGCATGTAAGAGATTGCCGCGATACTAGCCGTTCCGAGAGTTATGCAAGCTATACACACTGGCTATCAAAGTATTTAGCGAACTGACAAGAACCTGTTATAGATCATGACAAGAAATGCAGCACTTACCATGCTCCCTGCGCACGAGAGTTTTTCTCGATCGAGTTCCAGTACCTGAAAGGCGATGAACATGTATGATAACACGTCGTGGTATGCAAGACAAGCCAAAACGAACTTACTACATATTAACAGAAAAACCAATGTGCCGTTCTCAAAAACTAAGTCACACTTATCCCTTTGAATGCCGTCTTGTTCTGCATGTTTCATTGACTCCTAATCGAGAGAGTTTTATAGTCCTTTGTACAGTGTTCGACTAAGGTAAGTTTGGGTCTCGCTGCCTACCTGGCTTCCGCTCAAGGGTGACAATCTGTCTTCTGGGCTCGGAATCTGAAAAAACAGCGACATCTGATCCAGCAAGCATCGCTCAATGAAAGGTTATGATGGAAGATTAAGATGTTTTTTAGCCAATCTAAAAGAACCTATCTGTATTTCTATACTGGTGTCTCTCACCCCTCCTTCCTTCTTTCCCTCTACCCCCCCCCCCCTCTCTCCTTCTCGTTTGTTTCTTTTCATGCTCCTGTAGGTATAGTTTCTGGCAGCTACACACTTACCTCGCTCGCTCCGTGAGATGTCTTCGATAGTATGCTGATAAGACGGCTTCCTTGTCAAAGACGTTCCGTGACCTTAAACGGGACATTAAATTGGTTAATGACCACGCTTCAAATAAGTATACAGCAAAGTTTCCCTTAAATTTGACGTGATCTTATGAGTGAGAACAATAAAAGCAGGGAATCGTGTGAAGGTCGCGCTACTGGATTAACTGCATCGCCTTTCACACTTCGTCATTTACACCTAAGAGGATGGCGTTGGTGAGTGTAGTGTCAGCCGGGGCATTCCACGTCAAATCAAACACCGAAATCCGTCATCCCCTTCGATTTTTCTGAAAATTTGTAGGCAGACTGGGCATGGTTCAAAACTGAGTTACGTATAATATTTTCGAAATTTGATAAAGTATCGCTGAGATATAGGTCATCGAATATAGCCAAAAATGCCACACATCAATTTTTTAATTGTCTATAACTCTGGTTCCTTTTCTGGTATCAAAATGATATTAACAGGGTCTTGTAGGCAATTGATAAGGCTTTGATTTTTAATTATAGAATTAAATTGAAGTGACCTTGAAATGCATTTGACCTTGAATTAAAACAGAAAAATTTAAATAGCAAAAAACACGTCACCTTCGATTCGGGTAATTTTTACATATTATGTCCGTCACAATGTTCCTAACCATCTGTGAAAAAATTGGAGTGGGCCATTCATAACTCTCGCGGCAAACGCCGTTTTCATGCATCAATATCACGCAACCGCGCGTGACCTTGAAAGACAGAGTCAAGACATGCTTGCTTGTGTACACTTTCTGAAATGAATGATTGCTGATTAGTGATATCCCAAACTCTGCGAGAATGGAAATACATAGTCATCGTAGTCAAGCATTCAAGTTCCATAGTAAAAGTGTCTCAGGCAAACGGTATTTTGCGGTGAATTTTGAGCCGTGTGGAAATGCATCATGAAGCCAAAAATTCAACGAAAACATTATCACCCAACGATATCTTCACGTCTTTTTATCTTCACTATACGAAAGAATATACATTTTTGAGTATGTATGGGGAATTTCTAGTTAATCCAATAATAAATATGGCAGTTAGAGACCTGCTAAGAGTAACATGTCGCCGGCTGAGGCGGGATCGGCCGACACGGGAAACGCAGCAATCACAATTTTGTGTTTACACGTTCATATTTCAATTGTTTACCAACTGATTTTCAAAATTATTACACCACAAGATTGCCTGTGCATTTCTTAGTCTTCTCACAACATTTGACGCGAATCGAACGTAATCAGCGGCAAGGAGCGCGATGTAAAGACGGAACCGTTCCGTTCCGTCCCGGCACAGTCTACAATTCAGGCGGCGGCTAGCGGTCGGCGCCGGCTGCCGAGTCGCCGCGTCGCCGCGGCGACAGGATGTTCACTTTACACCGCTATTACTAGACCAGTTGTGAACCGATTTTCTTCTTGCTTGCACGATGAGATGTGCAATTCAATTTTGGACAGGTAGCTATAATTAATTTCGCATTAATACTATGAGATATTGGCGAAAAACAGGAGGGGTGGGGCGAAATTCACTCTTCCCCCTCCACTGCGCGTGCTAACATACGTTTGCATATGTGCCATTTTCTTCAAAACTTATGAATGGCCCACTCTAATTTTTTCACAGGTTGTTAAGAATATGGTAGGCAATAAAATATATGAAAATTAGCCAAATCGAAGGTGACGTGTTTTTTGCTATTTCAATTTTTGTGCTTAAGAACAGAGTTAAGCAAATTTCAAGGTCATATATTTAAGTAGGTGCTATTCTAAACAAATGCTTAAGAAATTACCTAAACAGTAAGGCTTATTTCAATCAAATCAAACAAGTACAACCAAAGTTATGGTCGCTCAAAAATATAAAGATGCAACATTTTGTAAAAAATTCGATGCCCTATATTTAGAAGACCTGTGGTCAGAATGTGCAAAAAACATCAATGTATTGTCCGGGGCGTCACAGGAACTCGCTCACAAATTTATAATGAAATCGCTGATGGTAAGGTGCAAAACAGCCGATTTTTGTTCGATTTGACGTGGAATGCCCCAGCCGATTCGTACTAGAAACCTGAACTGTAAGAGAGCATATGCGTGGCAACACGATTCGAGTGCGGGTGGAAACACTGATACCACACGCATGGATTGGAGTGGACGAACGGTAATGGAGGATACGTACCTGGCCTCCTCTTGATAGTCACTCCTTCACATTTAGACACAGAATCTAAAAACAAAGAGATGCAAAACTAGTTAAAGAATGACGTGTTCAAGGCTAAATAATAAACATTTCTCTTATTTGTTCTGAGTTAATATAGAAAGGCAGCCGAAAGTCAAGGACGGTGTTTTTATTACGATTGATTGCTAAAAGTGACCTTTTATTTTGTAATCAACTCAAAACTCTGCATAACCAGCATTAACCCGCGCCCTGGTGGGGTCTGTTTATAACGCGACCTGGTGGGGGGGGGGCTATTTTTTGCCCCCCCCCCTCGTATCTCCGAAACTACTGGACGGATCCGCAAAATTCAAACGGCGTTCGAAAGGTCTGTCAAATCTGTCGAAGGAAACCAAATTTCATTGACCTCGGGGTCACCGATGACGTCACAGGTCAGGTCAAAGATGAAATGTTTCACCGTTCACGGGTCTTCTAGGGAATGCGCTATAACACCGAGGAAAACGCATTTTGTCGAGAATCAGCGATAGGGCGTCAGTTGCCTAGTAGGTATGTTGCTATTAGAGGTCACTGACAATACCAGGTCACGTCACAGGTCAGGTCACCAAGGGTCACAGGTCAGGTCACATGAGCCCAACTTTACTAAGGTTGTGTGATGCATGTTTTATGGCCAATTTTTCATTTCCAACTCAATGGTGTTGGTTATAAGACTATCAGGTACGGCTTAGGTCACTTTCTGGTGAAGTTCAGGTCAAGGTCAGGTCAAGGTCAGGCCAAAAAAGGTCAAATTTTAAAGTTGATAGTTTTGCATAAAATGGGTATTGATTCGATGCAGCTCGTCACGGGGAGTCTAATGGTGGTCTTTGTTTTGCGCTACGGGGTCTAGAATTGCTCAAAATTGAGTTTGAAAATTTGACGTCATCAATTTTGAACAGTTTTTTCGCTATAACTTCGCCAAAAAATAAGGTATCAATCTCAAATTTGGTATGTGGATGGAAGGCGGTAAGGACTATCACATATATTCCGTTTTTTGCGAAATTCAAAAAACTTTTTGGATTTTTCGATCATTATATCCAATTTTTTTTTTATTTTTTGGGGTCAAAATCCAAAAATTTCAAAAATTTAAGATAGAAGTTTCGTAGCCCTGTCAATTTTACAGCTTTTATGTCTATCATTTTTCTATATTTGCAAAGCTATAGGCCTGACAGCTCTTCCCGCGAAACCCTTTTTTGGGTCGAAAACGGCAGAACATGACGTCACTCTGACGTCATTTGCGGCCAACCTATCATAGCCTTTGGAAAAATTTTTGGTTACCATGTGTAAAATTGATGTCCGGGAGGGTACTGAAAGTTTGGTGACGATCGGCGCAGCGGTTCTGGAGATATATCGAAAAGTCTGGAGGGGGGGGGGCAAAAAATAGCCCCCCCCCCCCCACCAGGTCGCGGGTTAAATTACACGAGAAAACGTTTTGAATGCTCATGCCAATTAACATTAACAAAGCGGCATACAATGACCCCCCCCCCTCAGGCGGAGTGTGTTTACTAACCTGTCTGTTTGTTGCTAACAACTTCTCCGGGTTTGTGCTTCAACTCTGTACATAATAAAAGGACGATATTAATCAAAGGTTAATAATGCGCGGAAATTTATAGGTTTAAAATTCTTTTTTATTAGGAACACAAGCTCCTAAATAGAAAACGTTAAACGTCATGAACACATGTTACAAGCATCATTTAGACAAAAAAAAATTAAAGGATAATGAGAGGAAAAACAAAAATATGAGAAAGAACATTTGTGCCACTCAGTTATACCGCAAGGGTCTCATAAACTTTCACATATTAGAACCACGCATCGAAACTCACCTGGCTTTTTCTCGATGATGACTGCTTCCGTTTTAGTCTCAGATTCTAAAAATAAGAATAAGTCATATTAGAGGTGATATTGATAGAATCCTGTCAATTTTTAGCATTGATAATTTATAATATAGATTATTTCCAAGGTTGGGTTAATTCAAGATTTCTTTACTACTCAGGTTGGTTCACTATAGGGAAATAAAGGCGCCGTGTCCCGTGCAGTGACGTCATCAGAGGAAATCTTTCGCGTTCAAATGAAAGGGTCATTTGAATGGCTGATTTTGGCTCGATATAGTCCTATTTATTTAGTTTCAGCTCCATTTATCGTAATGAGGCGAACTTATTGTTACATTGGTACAACTTTTGATGACACATAATCCTTGTTTTTTTTTTCTCCAGCTCGCTCGAATGTAAAAAAATCTTACAAGCCCCTTGTAGAAAAACCGCTGGCGCAAAAATGAGCATGCAGCGACGTGTAAAAATCGCCTCATATTTAGCTAGTAAGAGGGTACAAGCTTGTTTCGTTAGTAATTGACAAGCCCACGCCTCATAAACCGAGCACCCCCGTGTCAGCCCCTCGTTTCGTTATTCGGTACCTCGTTTGAAAACGAGGGCAAAACCAGCAGATCGGTACGCCGATCAGGCTCCTTAGCAGGACTCGCCTGGTAACCCAACCAGCTAGCGCCTGCTATTGCTGCCCAGTAGTAATACTAGCTCAATTGCGTCACCCCCCCCCTTCTCCCCAGCCGCCCCTCCGACAGCCACGACAGCGTGCCAGTCACGTTACAAAAAAAAACATACACAAAAATAACGTTTATTACTTATTAGCATACGATACAAAATATCTAAAATATACATATTACAATATCATAGTGGAGTGGTGCAAAAGCTGATTCGAGTCACCACCAATAACATTCACAAAATAGGTAATACGGTTGCATGAGACACGATCGGGCACTTCCACGGGCTCTGACGCAACGGCACTTACAACAGGCGAGTGAGCAAGTTGATCCTGCCATGTCAGGTACATTGTGCACTGTGCAGTCCATCAAATATTTGCCATACTTCGCAGATTCAAGCAAGTATTTTTTTTTCTGGGCGAGGCTTACCAACAGAAATATCGCTGGCTTCCGGTATACCTGCATGCCTCAGTCTCCCACAACTTTAAGCAGCTCTGCAAACAGAAAAGAAAATTAACTGCTGATTTTAAAATATCAGTGAGGATGGTTTTATTATCTACATCAACTGACTTTTGTATAAGATAAATCAATGTGAGGCAATATGTGTAGCTTACACATTTGGAAAAAAGGCTAGACAGCAACTGAAAGAAAGTCCGTCTTCCAATAGTCGGAATTCAAACCAAACAGTGGCCCACAACGGTCAAGGGATGAATTCTATGACGCAACATGTGTTCAGAATATTACAAAATAAATAAAATGTCGCCCATTGCTACGTAAATATCATACAATATAACGTACCTTCGAAATATCCCAGTCCGAGAACTTCACAACGCACCGTGCCACAACACAACCGCACCAACCGCCGGCAGCCGCAGAACTGAACAATGGCGGCCGGAAATGACGGCCCCGCGCCGGAAGTGAAGGACGCGTTTTAGAAGCAGTCTCAGACTCGTCGCTGCTCACCGTAGCAGGAATTTATGAGGCACTACCGAATCAAAGTCGTTTCGCCTCATTCGGCAACACGAAAACCCTACCAGGACTAGTCCGATGATGAGTTTCCGACTAGGTGGCGTGTGCGCAGGATTATATTTAAAGCACGTGCAGGGCGGTGCCTCATTAGCCGACATAATAATGATATGACACGATAATGAAACACGCATGTAACTAGCATGCAACAAGCTTCTGGCGGATTTACTTATGAGACTATGCGTAGTTTTCCGACACAGCGCGAAATCTGTTGATAAGCAGGAAGGGGTGTTAGGGAAGCATTTAAGTTATTAGGTTACCGTTTGTAACCAATTGTTTCACGAGGCCACTCTTTAACTAACAACTCTCAGGCTGATAATGTCCCTATATATAACAGCAAGGTACAATGGACGACCGTGTAACCCACTCCTTGTCATAGAATTGGCTCGTGACATTTTTTTACAGTGAAAGATGATGAAATTTGCATGCATGCCTATGGGTGAAGGGAGATTCTACCGCCGTGGTGACGTTACGGTAAAGGGATTCTGGAGCTCGTGAACAGGGGCTGGGTTAATTTACATCCACCTTATAAAGTTTCTTGAAAATTTCAGGAAATGGAATATCTGGTTATTTCGGTTAGCCTGTTATTATCCCCCAGCCGGTTTACTTTACATTAAACCGCGAGTAGGTAGGACAAATCTTTTAAACGTCGAGCCGATAGACGAGACGTTAAAAAATATACCTACGAGCGGTTTAAAGATTTTATCCCGTACCGCCGATATGTTTCTGGCGCTTAAAGGTAAAACATACATTTATATAAAAAATACGACATAATTAAGACGAGACGAAATTTCTACTAGACGTTTAATAGTTTGTTAATAGTCTAGACGTTTAACAAATCAGTTAAACGACATCTGGTAATTTTCTCTCTTTGCACGTGAAGCAATTGTAAACACTATCTACCTACGGTGCGGGATAATGTTTCATAAACGTGAAACATTTTATCCAAACATTCATACGATTGGCAAATAAGTGTTCACTTGAGCAGGGTCTCACCTGGCTTTCTTTCGATGGTTACTTTCTCTGGTTTTGGCTTAGAATCTGAAAAAGCAGATTGCATCAGTTCACAAAACCATGAAAATAGTTTACTAAAAATACTAAAAATTTTGAATTTGTTAAAAAATAAATACCTAAAAATTATAAATTTTACTAAAAATAAAGTGAACGTTAGCATGAAAACGCGAAGATATTCAGCTGTGCAATTAGGAAAACTGCGCAAATGACAACAAATACTCAACGACTCTGCTTATTCCAGGCCACATATGGACATTTTGACACATCGTTCACTTTACTGGATGCAATTACAAGGCAATGAGCATGTACTGACCTGGCTTTCTCTTAATAACCTCCTTAGCCTTGGGCTCCGAATCTATAAAACGATGCGTTGTCAATTACAGAATTAAATATATTAGGCGAATTTACAATAACAAGTAAATCAAATGAAACAGAAACAAAAAAAAATCTTACAGCCTTTGTTGCATTTATGATAGCAATAATAATGATCACATTGCAAATCAGTCAGAAAAGTAAGCAAATAAACGGAAAAGACAACAAAGGACATTTCCTTACCTGGCTTTCTCTCAATGGTCACCTCCTCATCTTTGGGCTCAGAATCTATAAAAAGTCATGTTTATATAAAATAGCATACAAACATACAAACCCGTGAAATTAACCAAAAAGTTACATCTCACGTTTATGATTGGAAAGTTTTGAACATGATGCTCAGCAAAGGATCGGAATTTTTTTATCATATATGAACCGCATTTAGCAATCAACGGACACCACCCTACTCAGGCAACATTATCATGTGCACCGTGCATATATTTTACGGTAAACAATGCCATGGCTTATTTGCAGCCTTTTACTGACCTGGCTGCTTATTGTTGACGACTTCTTCGGGGTTTAGCTTAGACTCTATAAGAAAGATAAAAGGACGAAATATTAATCATATGTTCATGCACGGATATTTGGTAGGATTTTTGTTCAGATTTGAATCATTACGGAGCGAGCGAAGTGAGCGGAGTCTTTCCTTAGATTAACGGAAATTTCTGAGTATGAGCGGCCGGCCGGCCCGGCCGGCCGTGCGGACGCTTTTGCGAGGCTTATATCTCAGCAACCACTTGACCGATTTATACGCCGTAATTTTTGTAGGGTAGCTCCATTCCTTCTACCAAGTATTGGACTATTCCCGATGTATGTGGGTGACCCCTTAAGAGGTGTCAGTTTTGTAATTGTTGCAACTTGCAATATCTCGGTAACTACTTGGCCGATTGCGCTGAAAGTTGGCATGTAGGTAGGTACCCACTAGGCACTGCATATCCATGTGCCAGAGTTGGGGTGCTGCTGCACGTGCGCACGTGCAGGGGTCGTTTCCAGATCTCGAGAACGGCTGGACCGATGGCGCTCAAATTTGGTACACGGTTAGGGACCAGTTAGTAGGGTGCCGTGCACGAGTCAGTTCAAGTCAGTTGGGACCCATTTTGCACGTGCGCACGTGCAGGGTGCCGCTTCAAGATCTCGAGAACGGCTGGGCCGATTGTGCTCAAATTTGGCACATCGCTAGAGACCGGTTAGTAAGGTGCCGTGCACAAGTCCGTTGGAGGTACTCCCTCGGAATTTCGCACGTGCAAGGCTCACCCTCTCGCTCGCTCCGTTAGTCGCCCCAAAAGGCGTTATACTGGTAATAATAAGAGCTTCCACAACATAAGAAAAGACAATTGTGCTACCCAAAAATAATTTGTTACTTAAAAGGTGCTACAAACTTTAACGAATAAAAAGAACACATTTAACCCTCGCTCCGTTGGGGAGGGGGGGGGGGGGGGGGGCTGCGCCGCCAAATTTTCAGTCCCATGCATCAATTTGACACCTTCACACCAAATTTCAAGTCTTAGGTCACCTTAGGTCAGGAGTTATTGAGGTCAAACTGAGGTCATGTTCGAGCAAAAATGAGCCAAAAACATGCAATCTTGAAACACTCACCAAATCTACAGTTACCAAGCAATTTCAAAGTTCTTTATATGAGAATGTAGACAAAAAGCGGCGCTACAAAACTGTTATCTCGAGTTTTCAAAATTTTGGGTTTTTGACCCTTAAAAGTTCAAAAAATTGATTTTTTTTTTAGAAAAACTAAAAAAAAAATCTATAAAAAAATCCGAATTCCAGAAAAACGGAAAATATGTGATAGTACCTGCGCTTCTATATACCTACATACCATATTTCAGATCGATATCTCGTTTTTTGGCCAAGTTATAGCGAAAAAAACTGTTCAAAAATGATGACATAAAATTTTTGAACTCAATTTTTAGCAATCCTAGACCACGTAGGGCAAAACAAAAACCACCATTGAACTTCCCGTAACGAGCTGCATCGAATCAATACCTATTTTATACAAAAATATCAGCTTTGAAATTTGACCTCATTTGACCTGACCTTGACCTGACCTTCACCAGAACATAATCTAAACTGACCCCAGAGGCTGCCTGACCCACATAATCGCATTTGACATATAAAATGGACCATAAAACATGCATCACATGATATTTTTTATTTGTGACCCTCAGTGACCTGACCTCTGTGACCTGACCTGGTATCAGTGACCTCAAATAGCAAAATATGTGTTTGAAGAACATTTCCCCATCGATGATTTTCAATGAAATGCATTTTACTCGATTTTACAACGCATTTCTTGAAATGCCTGTAAACGGTGAAATTTCGACCTTTGACCTGACCTGTGACGTCATCGGTTTGACCTAGGTCAATGAAATTGAGTCACAAGGTAGTTCCCTGATGGGGCTATCCAACACCGTTTGCCGCTTGTCGCTAGGTTGCATGGTTCTCGAGATCTTAGGGGGGAGGCCAAATTGCCCCCCCCCCCCAACAGGGCGCGTTGCTCGGCAGAGCCCAACGGGGCGCGGGTCACTTGGCTTTTTCTCGATGACAACTGTTTCTGTTTTAGCCACAGACTCTAAAACAGAAAACTATATCATATTGGAGGTGATATTGATACATTCCTTTTCGTTTTCCACACTAGTTTTTTTTAAAAGATAGGACTTTTAAGATATATCGTCGATATAAAGTTTCCTGAAAATTTCAGGAATTTGTTTCTCATTAAATTGGTTTGCCTGTTACTATCCCAGAGGTTTGCCGTTCCATAAGCGTAAGGCATATTATCCATGCATTCAGTGGACTTGACAAGTATGTGTTCTGTACAGAGTCTCACCTGACTTTCTCTCAATGGCTGCTTTCTCGGGTTTGGGCTCAGAATCTAAAAAACAAATTGCATGGGCTCAAAATCATGAAAATAATTAAACGACTAGACATAATCTTCTGATAAAACAACCCTCATCATAAACATACGCAGACATATAGCTGTGTGATAGAAATGCACACAAGACATTTAAGCCTCAAGGACTGTCCCCACTTCAGGCCACATATGATCATTTGGACATATTATATTTATCTGGATAAAATTACAATGCAATGTGCACTGTGCAGGCACTATCCTGGCTTTTTTCAATACCCTGCTTATGCTTAGACTCCGAATCTATTAATCGATATCAGATATAATATGTGTAAATATACACTTATAGGTGCTGGTCGGGTATGATCAGCAAAGATAAAACATGATGACAAACATGCGTGTATATGTGAAAAACGTAATCATGCTATTCCAATAATATGATTGGTCAGATGCAAAAAATATACATTTTTCATAATTATGTCGAAGTGTTATGATAATATTGTTTGACCTTCTATCGCTGTAGATGGAGATGTTTTATTTTAAGTCGAATCTTTATTCGTATTTTGTAAAAAGAACAAATGCTGACCTCCGTCATATTATCGATACAGATACAAATATATATGGTAAATCAACAATGTTAGATAAATCAAATTAACCTGATCAGATCCAATTTCTAACAGCATTTTGCTGCATTTGAGATAGCATCAATAATAAGCACATTACACACCAGTCAGAAAACCTTGCAAATAAATGGAAAAAGAAGACAACCAAGGTACAGCCCACCGCTAAAGTAATGTAGGGTTTTACCAATCTCAACGGTTGGCTTTGACTGGCGATTGTTTAATGCGGAGTGATCGAAAAGAAAATGTCAATAGCTAAAGTTGCAGCTGCAAGGGAGACGATACATATAAGCTACATTCAAAGTTTCATTGTAGTCTGGCTAATCGTTCCTAAGCTTCAGAAGCAGAACATACCCATGACTGAAACCCCACATTACTTCTGCTGTGGACCGTACATGTCCTTACCTGGCTTTCTCTCGACGGCGCTATCATCAGTTTTTGGCTCAGAATCTGTAAGAAAAAGTCCCATGCATCAGGTCATGAAGTTAAGTAAATATGTTGTCACATCAGACGTCCCTGATTGGAAAGCTTAGGACATGATGTGCTGCAAGGGATCGGAAAATGTTAATCATATACGAAACGCATTTAACACTCAACGAACACCTTCACTGGCCTGGTAATATAATCATGTGCATTGTGAATATATTGCACGTTATTTAATGTCATGAACAATGTGCATTGTGCAGTGCTTTTACTAACCTGGCTGTTTGCTGATGGCGACTTCTTCGGGTCTGGCCTTAGATTCTATAAAAAAGATAACAAGACGCCATATCAATCACAAGCTCATGCATGGACATTGGTAGGGTTAATAATTTTGATTTGGATGCTAATGAGAGAAACATCAACAGCATTTGAAAGGATAATTGTGCCACTGAAAAATACATTATTCATTATGAAGTGCAGCCAATTTTAACGAAACAGAACAACGCATTGAAACTTACCTGGCTTTTTCTCGATGATGGCCGCTTCGGTTTTAGTCTGAGACTCTAAAACAGAAAACAATTAAGTCATATTAAAGTTGAGATAGATAGGTTCCTTTTTTGCATGGATTCTTTGTTAAAGATAAGATTAAAAGGTATCGACGAAGCAAAGTTCTTGAAAATTTCGGGCATTGAAGTTCTCAATACTTTCGTTAGCATCTTCTTATTCCCATATAGGGTTACATTCAAGTCAGAAACTATGCTCAAATATTCAGCACTATTAACAAGGAAGTGTGCATTTTACGTGACTCGTAGGTATGTGAACTGGGTGTGCGGTGATTTTGACTGTTGCGCCTATTCTCTCATTCAATTTTCTTCTAAGGGGTTTTTATTTTTCTTAATGATACCAGGACAACGCGTAATACTAACCCGCCATTTTTTTTCTTCCTAGCGACAACAAATTTAGCGACATTTATTAGCGAGTTTGAGCTGGCCATGTAATAAAACGAATGCTATGAGGAGAAGGGGCAGTCCGAAAAATATTGAGGCGATAAGAAACATGCCTCAACAAGCTATCGCTTGTTTGTTGCTTTATAGTCCTCGGCTACGCCTCGGGCAATAAAGCATGTTTCGGTCTTCACGCTAGGACTACAATGACGTTACATCGGGATAATTTTTACTATTGCCCGCCATCCCATACAGTATTCATATACTATACAGGGTCTCACCTGGCATTTTCTCGATGGTCACTTTCTCAGGCTTGGGCTCAGAATCTAAAAACAGATAGCATCAGTTCAAAATCATGAATATGACTAATAACTGAGGAGGTACTTTTACTAAAATAAGGTTGATCATAAAATCGTGCTGATTTTGAGCTGTGCGACGAAGGAAAATGCACAAAAGGTATTTAACCTTCGCCCGCACATGCCATTTTCCCACCTATAGAACGCACATGGGGGGCTACCACCCCCCGCGCCATTTCGTTCCTGCTGGAGATAGAGCTTCGCGGCAAAGACCAACAGATTTTATGGGAAGAGACGAATCCAATGGTACCCAATTTTACCTCATTATGTCAAACATTGACCTTCCAGGTCAGGTCAAGCTAAAAATGTTGCTGTTTGGGGCCACCGTTGGAATATCACGTGCGGTGCCCATATTACCGATGGCGCTGCCAAGTTGTGATGCCAGGCCAGCTAGAACAGCTCTTTGTCACACTATCTGACTAGGTTTTTACCGGTTGTGGTCATTTCAGCTCAAGCTAGATCAAGGTCAATGATATGCATCTGTATGTCTGTGTGTGTCTGTGTGTATACTGATGTGTGCACCGATTGGTTTGTGTGTCCCTGTTACATGAGATCATGATCTGAGGAGCTTTTACCAAAAATACAGTCAAAAAAACCTCACGAAAAGTAAATTCAGCAAGCCTCAAATGCAATGTTTTTAGATGACCTAGGTTGACCATAACCCTGACCTTGACATCTGCACATCGTCGAATAACATGTTCCATGATAGGTGGGACTAGCAAAAACATACCGAAATCAAGGTGTCAAAAACTCACAAGACCCATAGCTAACGCAAGATATTGAGTTTTGGTCATTTGAGTCATGACATGACCTGAAAAAAACAAGGCCATATCTCCGAAACAAGAAACTACAGAAACTTGAAATTTTTAGTGAACGCTGAGAAAGGATAGAGGAGGGAGCAGCTATACGAAAAATCAGGCTTCTAGCTTTACAAATGTTCAGTGCAGAACAGAAAAGCTACCTGGGGGGTGGCAACCCCCCATGTGCGGGCGAGGGTTAACCCTATTAGTGGCAGGGGGGTTGTTTTCATCCACCCCTCAGGTATTTCGGGAATATCTCCGAAACTGCTGAAGCTACGATGCTGAAATTTTCTGACTTTTCCTAAAACTAAATTGGGCACATTCCCTGAAAATTTCAAGTTCATAACTTTACCAGGGGCGGCTCCAGAGCACTGGGAATTGGGGGTCCTATTCGTGAAGCGAGTCATTTGGGCGAAGATCACGATGCTGCACCAGTTTTACGAACAGTGAATGAAAGGTATCATGTGATAACATATACAAAGTTATTGTGCATCCTCTTTTGACACGTTTTTGCTATAACAGGCGGATCCAGGCGTCCAAAAAGGGGGGTTATGTTTTACCTCCCAACATAGGTGCCCTGACACCGCCTATGCATGACCAATACAGTTGTAGTCGTTCTCTCATAAGAAAATTGTAACATAACAAGACCATTACCACCCTTTTTACAAACAGTACCAACAAAAACCTTATTTACTATACTTTTTGTGTACCCCCAATCTCAATGATCTGTATCCGCCTATGATTTTTGAAAATGCATATTTTTAGGATCAATGTGAATTCCTGGTTCATTCTCTATCGATCGGCAAAAGTTGCGTTAAGATTGGTTCAGAAACCTGGCCGTGATAAACAGTCTAAAATGTATCTGCAATTTGCCCGTTTTTACCCCCCTCTACCCCCCCCCCTATTGACATTTTTTAATTTTTATTTTTTAGAAATGTAGATCACGTTCAGCGAAATCGAACGCCGTTTGAATTTTGAAACTCAGCCCGTTAGATCTCGAGATATCAAGGGGGGTCGTAAACAGCCCCCCCCCCTGCCACTAATAGCCAGGAGCCTGCCACTAATAGGGTTAACCCGCGCGGGGCTGGGGGGGGGTAAATTTTACCCCCCCTCGCGAATTTTTGCGATATCTCAAAAACGGCGGCGCGCAGCGCCGCCAAACTTTCAGTACCTTTTCTTACATCAATTTTACACGTTCCCTGAAAATTTGAGCGAAATCCGTCGGAAATTTTTTGAGAAATTGACGTTTTAGTGACGTCATGTTCGCCATTTACGCCTCAAAAACGGCAAAAGTTCAAACGCCGCTAACATCTTCATTTTTAAAGGAATCAAGACGTAACAAAAAAGGTTATACGTAATTTTACGTTGTCTATCAAATGGCTATCTCGGTTTTTTGAAAATTTTGGATTTTGGCCTAAATTTTTTCAAAAAACTGATTTTTTTGGGAAAATCATTATAAAATCCAAAATTTTGAGTCTATCGAAAAAACCGGAATATATGTCAGAGAAGTGGTCTATGTGCACCTACATACCAAATTTTAGAAGAATCGGTTCAAAAATGTGGGAGTTATTCAAAATTTTATGATGTCACGACACACAAAATTTTTGAAAAATGACTTTTTTGGAAGTTCTAGACCTCGTACGGAAACAAAAATAGCACCATTCGATTCGCCATGAAAAACTGCATCAGATAGACACCTTTTTAGGCCTTAACAACCAACTTCAAAATTTGACCTCACTTGACCTGACCTTGACCTGACCTCGACCTGAAATTCATCCAGAGGTGGTCCATATCACTTATTGAGTGTGCCTATTGAATTCTATAAGTAAAATGACCCATAAAACATGTGTCGCACATGCCCTTTTCTATATTTTGTTTTTTGGTGACCTGACCTGACCTGACCTGACCTTGACCTTGACCTCTGAATGATATTGTATGCAACGAATATTGTCTTGGTAGCCTAAGAACACGTTTTGGGCGATCAGTCTCAGTCCATGACTCCATTCTTCGGCAACTACGGTGCAAGGCCGATACTGTAGAAACTTGCAATTTGTACCCTTGACCTGACCTTGACCTTGACCTCAAACTTTAAATTAAGTACATGTTTTTAGTAGTTCGTGATGAGAGCTTTCGATTGGCGTTTGAATTTTCCAAATCGGACCATTAGTTCGGGAGATAACAGGGGGGGTAAAATTTACCCCCCCCCCCCAGCCCCGCGCGTTCGGCTGGAGACCCCAGCCCCGCGCGGGTTAAGTCTCATCGACTCTCCCTATTTTAGGGGAAATGGTCATTTGGGCACATCCTATACTCCACTATATACAATGCAACGCCATGCAGGTTGTACTAACCTGGCGTTTTCTCGATTGCCACCTCCTTAGGCTTGGTCTCCGAATCTATAAAACGATGCGACATCAATCACAGGCTCGTGGACAGTACCCATGTAGGTATAGGTTAGAAAGACTTATTATGTACTTATGTATGAAGATATAGAGATAGACTTCTACGTGCTGCTGGAGAATGATCATTTAAATTTTAAATAATGATGAAAAGTATGTACTTGCGTAATGTTATAAAACATAATCATGTGCCTCCAATAAAATGGCAGATCATACGAGTATGATAGAAATGTACCATCTTTTTCATTATTTCATCAAAGAATGGTGATTCACAAAGTGTTACATCAATACAAAGAGTTATGGTGTTATATCTTGGCTTTCTATCGATGCAGCTCGAGACTGCTTTATCAATAGCCGGTTGATCATTGCCATTTATGTATTTATGAAGAAAGGACGCCGACGAATACTAACCACTAAAATATTGATATAGTCATGAGTGATGTATTGCCAAATAGTCATAAATCAAATGGAACTGAATCTGATGATTTACTGTTTCATACAATTTCTCACTGTATTTATGGTAAGTAGCAATATAAAACACAAAGTAACTAGATCAGTCGGAGAAGCTAGCAAATAAATGGAAAAGAAGACAACCAAGGACATGTCCTTACCTGGTTTCCTCTCGATGGTGACTTTCTCAGTATTTGGCTCAGAATCTGTAAAAAGTTAAATTTATCAGGCGAAAATCCAGTAAATTGGGTAGCTGCATCTCACACTTCTGATTAGAAAGTTTAGAACAAAATGCACTGAAAGGGATTGAAAAATGTCATAATCGTAAATGTTATTGTGCACATGATTATATGAAACGCATAAACACTCAACAAACACCTTCCCTATTCAGGTGACATAATCACGTGCACTGTGCACATGTTGTACGGAAAACATTGTCATGCTCAATATGCAGTGTTTTTTTTTTTTTACTAACCTGGCTGTTTGTTGATAGCGACTTCTTCTGGTTTGGGCTCAGATTCTATAAAAAGATGAAAATATGTCATATCAATCACATGTTCATGCACGGACACTGGTGGGGTTATGAGTTCTGATTTGGATGATAATGAGAGGAACATCCATATCATGAGAAGGGATAATTGTGCCACTCAAAAAAAAATCACTTGAAAGGTGCTGCAAACTTCAACGAAATAGGGCAACGTATTGGAACTTACCTGGCTTTTTCTCCACGATGGCTGTTTTGGTTTTAGTCTCAGACTCTAGGAAAAGGCAGTTTAGTCACATTAAAGGTGATTTTGATAAGTTTCTTTTATTTTTCAGCATTGCTTCTTTGTTTAGATAAGTTTAAAATACATCAAGGAAATAAAAGTTCTTGAAAATATCAGGCTTTTGAATTTATCATGATTTTGGTCAGCCTGTAATTATCCCCAAAAGTTTACCGTTTCATGAACGTTAGGCATTTTATTCTAACATTCATACCATTGGCAAGAATGTATAACACTTGAACACTGTACAGGGTCTCACCTGGATTTCTCACGATAGTTACTTTCTCAGGTCTGGGCTCAGGACCTTTAAAAAAACATATTCTATGAGTAACCGTGAAAAAACATAAAAAACTAGGCATTAACTTCGATGTAATAAATGTTATCATAAACACACGCAGACAATCAACTGCAGGTATAATAGAAAAATGCACAAAGGGCTTTTTAGACTATACGATTCTCCCTATTTCAGACCACATGCTCACATGCTCATTGGACATATCTTACTCTACTCCATGCAATTATAATGTAATGTGCATCTCACATGTGCTAAACTGGCTTTTTCTTGATAGCCTCCTTAAGCTAAAAGACAACAACCAAGAGACATGTCCTTACCCGGCTTTCTCTCGATGGCGGCGTCCTCAGTTTTGGGATCAGAATCTGTAAAAACAAGTTATATTTATCAGATGGAAATCCATTAAATTTAACACATAGTAACATCTCACCTCTCTAATGGAAAACTTTAGAAGTTAGTGCAATGCAAGGGATCTGAAAGTGTTAAAACCCTATTCCTGGCGGGGGGGCCTCAGGAGCCCCCCCCCTGAGGTTTTTTGGTTATTTCTCCCAAACGCGTTGAGCTAGGAAGCTCAAATTTTCTGACTTTTCCTAAAAGGCTTCTACGCAACATGTCTGAAAATTTTGAGTTGATCTGACCTCAGGTCAGGTCACCAGAGGCGGTTTGGTGACCCTACCTCAGAAAAGTTTGCAATCACGCCAGAGCTAGAGTTTTTGACCGATCAATTTCTTCTCTTCAGGCTTTAGTTAGGGTACCAGTATGTGCAATTTGTATATCTCGGAATTTTGATATCGGTGACCTAAGGTCAGGTCAGTTTCGCGACCTCCCCATTATAAGTCAATGAGGGAAAACTCAACTCCCTGTTTTTACCACTAAAACCGGTCGGAATGGCCCCATATACCATACATGACTTCATATACGATCAACCTTCACTACCTTGAGGTCTGTTTTGCTGTTGGGCAGCTGTGAGGTCATGTGACGTCATCAAAGGTCACCAAAGGTTTTTGGCCAATAACTCCGTACAGGAACAAGATACAGACGCGTGGATCGTCTCATTGTGTTCAGCTCGTCAAGACGCATCGAATGATATACATGATGACCTCGAGGTCACGTGACCTGAGGTCAACCTTTGACCTTGACCTTTCGAGGTCAACATATATATCATTCGATGCGGATTGACGAGAGGATCACGATGATGCCCTTAGTTTGTTCCTATCTTGACTAATTCGAAAGTTATTGGAGAAAAACTCTCTCCATATCTAGCGCCGCCATTTTGACTTTTTCGATCCCTGTGACGTCATCTTTGACCTGACCTGAAAATGACCTTAGTAAAAATTGTAGATCTTGACCGTGCGTATCCGATGCCCTTTACCGTTTGTCGCTGCGATGTGTAGTTTTTGAGATCTGAAGGGGGGCCGAATCGGCCCCCTCCCCCCGCCAGTTTCTTGTCCCGGCGGAGCCCGCCAGGAATAGGGTTAATCATATACGAAATGCATTTATTTGATATTCAGCGAACATCTTCCTTATGCAGGTAGCATTATCATGTGACTTGTGTCTGTGTTGTACGGTATAAAATTTCACGCTCAATGTGCAGTGTTTTTGCTAACCTGGCTGTTTGTTGATAACGACTTCTCCGGGCTTGGGCTCAGATTATATAAAAAAGACATAAAAAGACGTCTTTTGAATCACAAACTTATGCACGGACATTGGTAGGGTTCAAACTGAAAAGTTGTGGATTTGGATGATAATGAGGTTAATCCGCGCCCCGTTGGGCTCTGCCGAGCAACGCGCCCCGTTGGGGGGGGGGGGGGGGCATTTTGCCCCCCCCCTAAGATCTCGAGAACCACGCAACCTAGCGACAAGCGGCAAACGGTGTTTGATAGTCCTATCAGTCCTATCAGTCTTACCTTGTGACCCAATTTTATTGACCTAGGTCAAACCGATGACGTCACAGGTCAGGTCAAAGGTCCAATTTTCACCGTTTACAGGCATTTCAAGAAATGCGTTGTAAAATCGAGTAAAATGCATTTCATTGGAAATCATCGATGGGGCAATGTTCTTCAAACACATATTTTGCTAGTTGAGGTCACTGATACCAGGTCAGGTCACAGAGGTCAGGTCACTGGGGGGTCACAATATGAAAGTGTCGTGTGATACATGTTTTATGGTCCATTTTACATGACAAATGCGATTATGTGGGTCAGGCAGCCTTTGGGGCCAGCTTAGATGACGTTTTGGTCAAGGTCAGGTCAAGGTCAGGTCAAGGTCAGGTCAAGGTCAGGTCAAGGTCAGGTCAAGGTCAGGTCAAATTAGGTCAAATTTCAAAGTTGATATTTTGCATAAAATGGGTATCGAATCGATGCAGCTCGTCACGGGGAGTTCAATGGTGGTCTTTGTTTTGCCGTACAAGGTCTAGAATCGCTAAAAATTGAGTTCAAAAATTTGACGTCATCATTTTTGAACAGTTTTTTCGCTATAACTTGGCCAAAAAACGAGATATCGATCTGAAATTTGGTATGTATATAGAAGAGCGCAGTGACTATCACATATATTCCGGTTTTTCGAAATTCGGAAAAATTTTGGATTTTTTTTAGTTTTTTTCTTAAAAAAAATCAGTTTTTTGAATTTTTTTGGATCAAAAACCCAAAATTTTGAAAATCCGAGATAGCAGTTTTGCAGCGCCGTTTCTTGTCTACTAGATCATATAAAGAACTTTGAAATTGCTTGATAACTGTAGATTTGGTGAGCGTTTCAAGATTGCATGTTTTTTTGCTCATTTTTGCTCGAACATGACCTCAGTTTGACCTCAATAATAGGGCGGGTCGATGAAAAAAGTTTTCAAGTGAAGAGCGATTTTCCTACGGGCTGATCCATAAAACGGTTAAAACATATTTTTTGCGAATTTTTGAAAAGGAACTGGGCGCGCCGTCCACGGTTTTTCGAGACCACTTTTGCTAATTTTTCTCGTTGTTTGCAAAATTAAGTAGGAAAAAATCGAGAAAGATACTATATTTACCACTTTCCTAGTTCTACATGCTTACCCCCACCTCTTCACAAAGTTTGGAAACCCCAGTGGCAGAATCGTGCTCAGAATAGCGATTAGCATCGGCGATCTGAGCGCAACGAAACCAGCGCCATCTATTGAGCGAGTTTGGCATAACATTGGTTTTGACGGCTTTCCGACCGTTAAAAGCTGACGCAGCCGCTGCCAGGGTATATTGCCGCTGCCACGTCGGGTATATGGTGTTCTTTGGTGTTCCTAAGTGTCTGGTGTTCCTTATTTGACACTAGGTGAGTTGTACCCATTCGATCCATATACTAAGTTGCTCCGGAAGCTATGTGATTTCGCCAAGAAAACAGCGAGATGCTTAACTTTGATATATGTTTATCAGTTAAATTAAGTTTTGCAGACAGATAAAATCAGTCCAAACCGTATGATCATTTTTGAATGCAATGTAGCCAGCCACCTTACCGTTCTAGGACAGAAAATCACACTTCGATAATTGATTCAAACGCCGGCATGAGAGCGCTGCATTGCGTCCTGACGGCACACATGATGTAACTGAGACGTGCTCACTGCTCTCTTAATAACAACAGCGTATGCTGCCTAAGTTAGGAGCCGGACGGCTCGCTCCACTGCCTGAGTACTCTACAATGCCCGATTGTCAACTTGCATTAAGTGCCAAACTGCGTCAATTCCTATCCCTACGGGTATAATATTTTGCATTAACAGACATTCCAAGCTCCTGAATGCGAAAAAATTTGATTTGCAAAGCGATACTCTCCTACACGTTAGCTAAAGTTGGTGGGGCAAAGCGCTCATTGGTGGGGAAAAAATGGCAAGTTCGTGGGGCAGCCGCCCCACCAACTGAATAGGAAACTCCGCCCCTGCTCGCCTCAATGTGCAGTGGTTTACTGACCTGGCTGTTTGTTGATAACGACTTCTTCTGGCTTGGACTCAGGCTCTATAAAAAAATAAAGACGTCATCCAAGTCACATGTTCGTGCACGGATATGTATTGGTGTAAACTTCTGGTTAGGATAACAATGAGAGAGACTTTCACAGCATGATGAAGGCTAAGTATACTACCCAAAAATTAGTTTTTTCTTAAAAGTTTTTGAATTTTTAAACGAAATACAACCACCCAATGGAACTCACCTGGCTTTTTCTCGATGATGACTGTTCTGGTTTCAGTCTCAGGTTCTGGAAAGAAAAAAATGTTTTCGTATTTAGTGATATTGATACGTTTGTTTTATTCCTGAATGTTGATTCTTTTTACAACAGAATATGAAATATACACCGACAAGACATTTGCAAACTTCAGGTACTTTAATTTCTCATTCGATTGGTTAGCTTGTTACATCCCATAAGTTTACTGTTCCTAAGACTCAAGGACTGTCCCTATTTCAAGTCACATATGATCTAGGAAGGGTCTCACCTGGCTTTCTCTCGATGGTTACTTTTTCAGGTTTGGGCTCAGAATCTAAAAAAAAAATCATAGCATCAGTTCCAAGCCATGAATATATTCTAAAAACAAGTCATGATTTACTAATTAAATCAATCCAATCACACAAAAAGATGGAAGCCCCCAGCTGTGCGATGAGGAAAATGAAAAACAAATAAGACTTAACCCGCGAGTTGCTGGGGGGGGGGGGGCGTTTAACGCCCCCACTTTTTTTCGCTGGGCCATAGCATAGCCAAAATTTGGGTACCTATAGGGAATTGATCGAAGTTTGTTGTGACAAAGTTTCAAAAAAATCGGTCGGAAAATTTTTGAGATATCGAGGTTTTAGTGACGTCATGATTTCTGAGTTTTCGACCAAAAACGGCATATGTATGTTCAAAAAATCATATAAAATCACAGAATAGATATACAGACATGCCGTAAACGCCATTAGACTGCCAATACCATGAACGATCAAATGGCTATCTTCGATTATTGATTATCGTTCCGCATTTTACAAAATCTTGAACTGAATCTTGGCAATTTCTCGTGACTACTTCACGACCATGATACATGCATTTCTTAAATTGAACTTTTTGGGCCAAACACGTACACATATAATAAAATGGATGTGACCATCGTGTTCTACGCTCCAAATTACCCATAAAACATGTGTCACAGGCTGCGAATATCAGTTTTGATTTTCGGGGATATGTGCCTACCCGGTTGACCTGACCTTGACCCTGACCTATGCTTGACTGACCCCTACATGGAGCTGGCACTCTTGTAGGCCTTATATGATGGATTGTGCACCATTTTGACAGAGTTTATGACGAGAGGCGCCCATTGCGAAGTCCTGAAGTCCATGCTACTGAAAGCCCGATTTCAGGTGTTTGACCTGACCTTGACCCGACCTGTGACCTCAAAATTCAACTTTAAAGTACTCATCTGAAGCGTCTCGTCGCGTTCTTTCGTTTGCCGCCTCGTGCGTTTCGCTGCGCCTATTGGTTCTCGAGCTATCGGCTGGGGGCGTTTAACGCCCCCCCCCCCCCCAGCAAACGGTGGGTGGCGAAATACCCCAGCAACTGCCGGGTTAACAACTCTACCCACGTTAGAGAAAATTAGCATCCGACATATCCTTTTTAACTACATGCAATTACAATATCATGTACAACTTAACATGTATGTACTAACCCGGCGTTTTCTCGATAGCCTCCTGAGGTTTGGGCTCCGAATCTATAAAACGATACGACATCAATCACAGACTCGTGGACACAAGTGTGTTGATGGACACTTCTACGGGCCGGTTGGGTAAAGATAAATTATGACAAACATATCCTTATAGAATGTTTGAAAAAAAATCATGACACTCCAATAAAATGGCGGGTCATATGTGAAAACTATACGACCTTTCCCATCATCATCCTAGGTACCATGATCATTGATCACCCTTTCCATCATGATATTAAACTGTTATAGGGCGGAGCGGGGAGAGTTGTATCATGTCCAAGTTGTATCAGGGCTAATTGTGCCAAACTTATCCAATGGATGGCGCTCGTGACACGACCAGCCGACGAGGTTTTCCGGGCGCCATCTTTCCCTGTTCTGTCGTGTGGCTGGGTGGACGCGTCTCGAGGTGAGAGCCGATTTTATGTTTTTTTAATGTCATTCTAAAAAAAATAAGTTGCAAGAAAATGTGTGTTTTGGGCATTTAGATGTGCACGAATTTGAATGATCTCCGTAGCGGTGGTGAGGGTAGGTTCTAAGGCTGCGTGAGTGAAAATGGATTTCTCCAGCTGTCCGCTGTTTTTGAGCACGAGGATGTTTTTTCCAAGATGGCGGCGAGGTACATGTTGTATCAGAGCCGGGTGGGGTATGTTGTAACATGTACGGTGTGTCTAAAAAGTATGTCCCCTGGTTTGGCTCTCCCACCGTAGGCGAATCGGTAACTTGGCGGAATCCGCCACCGAGGTAGGGAGGGTCGGAGAGGGGAAGGGAGGGGAAGGAGGGGCAACCGCTCAGGACCAGACGATACCTGGCTGACCCCGCGCTCCCTCCATGACCTCCGTCCTGCCCTCAGGCGAGGACCGATTTCCTCGGCCCGTAGCGGCCGAGCGCACCGTCTTGCCGAATACCAGATTAGCGCGAATTTAATCAAAAACCCGACTTTCAATAAACTGTTATTTATACCTATCAATGGGTAGGAAATTGTCCAAAGTTATCGGATAGAACCTTATCTTTAAGTCACTTTATCATTTGAGGACTTGTATCCCTGCCGAAAGTAGACCCACGCTCCGGTTCCTGAAATCGGGCTATGGTACTGAGAAATATGTCCAGTTTTCAATGTAAATTTTACGGAAGCTTCGAGAAGATATATGAGAAAATAGCATATCACCGGATAGCACAATTCATGATGAAGCTGTTTCTCCTATCATGGTAGCTTTTCAATGAATGGTTTCTGAGTTTAATGAGTTAGAACAGGAGCCTTGCATGTGTATCGTTCTCACGATAGTATTTCATAAAGAAGTTGGAAAATGTCAAAATGGATAAAAATGGATATGACGAATAGGGCATGGCTGAACTCTCCGCACATTTCTGAACATAAGCGAGCAAGTTTCAGCTGCCACTTTTTGCCTATTTGCCGTCAATTCAGCTTTGAACATGTCTAGTCGGCCGCCCGGCGTGACCTGACCAAGGTCGGGGGCGGCGCGGCCGAACAGGCTCCAGCCTAATTAACTATCTCAAGCACACGGAATCGTGATTTCATGCACTCTTTGCAAGATCCGATGCTTCACTTTTGCATTATTGGCCTTACGTGACGTCATTTATGACGTCACTAGGTTAATAAGAGTTTTTCGTCAATAACTCCCGATCAAATTGAGCTAGCGAGTCGGGAAAGCCACCAATGGACTCAGGAAGACCTGCCGAATCGAATGATATGCAACATGACCTCCTTCGACCAACTTCGTGATCTGGGGGGCTCTAACCTGACCTTGACCCGAGGTCAACACCTTAAGTTGACTTCAGCCGAAGAAAAAGTATACCATTCGACGCACCTGAGCGAGGCGAACACGATGATGCCAAAATTGCGGCTCTGTGGCATTTTTTCGCGAAGTTATTAATAAAAAACGAATCCGTGCCTTGGGCCACTTGACCTGACCTCAGAGGTCACAGGTTAACCAGAGACCTTAAAATCGGATACCAGTTGCTGCGTCTCGTAACGGCACACACGCTCGTTTTTTTCCGCGAGGCTCTAGTTTCATCAGGGGCGAAACAGCGGCGCGGGTCGTACAGGGACCCGCAGTTGCTACTGTACACATATATTACCAATTTAGAATTGCGCTATTATTTGGTAAGTGCTGGCCATTGGAGAAAGGAAATGTAGCGCAAAGTATGGAGGAATAACACATGTTTGCTCCTAGCACGTATGTTTTGTATAATTCCTCTTACCGCAACAGATATTTTTCCAAAACTACAATCGTGCTATTTTTCCGCGCCGGTTGCCTCCCCAGAGCCCGTCCTTGGTATCGCCTATAGCTTCCATTCCCGCTACGTGAATGAAAGTCACGTGACTACTACAGGTTTGCGCTCAGTACTAACACACCTAGCCCGAGGGCCGGTCCGTAGCGGGGAGGGGTAGAACGCCAGAGCTCCAGCGCAGTGGAGGTGGTGGTGGCCCGTATCATAAAGAGGCAACCGTAAGCAGAACTACAATTGCCGCAGTATAAGATTATGATCAAGTTTTCTTTAAATGTATTGATTGACAAGAAAGTGCAATGTTTATCCGATATAATAAAACGGTGTGCAAAGCCTTGGAAGAACTATAAAACATATTCAGCAACGTATAAATTTCTGATACAGGCCATGACCTTTCACCTTGCCTCCGGGAAGGACCGCTCAGGAAGCCACCTACCGAACGAATCGAGGCCTCGCAGCGCGGCGGCAGAGGAGGTGGATAAACCATCGCCAGATCTTTCGATTACTTATGTTTCCAGAAGAAGGAGGGGGGGGGGGGGTTCAGGGGGGCTATTTTCAACCCACTCACCAATCCTTTCCTTATTAACTTATAGCTTACCGAAAAATGAAACACAATGGTGGCCGTCACGAGATGTAGCGAAGAGTGCCTCAGCCACACCGGTTTTGAGTAAACTTTAAGCATTCGAATTCAGGCCAGTGATCCTGAAGCATTATTTTATTTTTGTCGTGCATAAGCTGGGATGACGTGGTCCAAGTTAATTGTGAAGAAACGGTTTTAGTTTCAGAACGTTTATGAGGCTAGTCGCGCCAAATAGTATACGTTTGTTGTAAAATGTCAAATAGAATGTTGACGTGCTATCCAGATGATGGAATTTATTTGACACAAGAAGTCAAAAAGTGGCATCGTTAGTCATCCTGCATACCTATAAATCGATTCGTCACCTTGGTTCGAGCTCAATAGTTCTTTTCGCGGATGATCGGTTTCGTTTTCTTTTATTTGGGGGGGGGGACAGTTTATGAGCCAGTAACCACCCTCTCCAGCCCCCCCCCCAAACAACCATTGTTGACAAATACTGTGATGGCCTAAAAAAATGCCCTCAATTGTGTAACGTAGGGAAGAATGAGGTAAGTTGAGCCGCTTTTGTTTTTCGTAAGCTACAGGCTAACTTACTGATCATTTTTATGCGTTTACGAGTTGGACGGACAGAGTGGTCATTGCACATGTAATGGTGGCCAGAAATGTTTCATACCGCTTATTTTTGTACTGAAAGGCTACGTCAAAAATCATCTTGCACGTTGCTCATCTTACCCCATGGGCGGGGTAAGTTGAGACACGTCGTGGGGAAAGTTGAGCATGGATGGAAAAAGCGAACCTCTTCTTTTCCCGCGCGCGGCGAAGAGTGGGCTCTTTTATTTACTCCATGGCATACATACTTATGGCAAAGTTTTTTTCCTCCATCAAAAAGTGACTGTTTTAAGCCTTCCAATAACTCGTCAATTTTCTATCACGAAAGAAATCATTTTATCCTTCAGAAAATCTGCAAATCACTTACAACTTGTGTA